AGAGTTAGATAATACCACATAGGTCAAATATCAAAGGCTAAACCTTTGGAATTTGAAAGCATAAACATAGTAACAATCAACACTTTCACTTTGCATCGGCACTATTCACTTTCTTATGATCAGATCTTTTCTTTTTACGAGCGAGCTCTTCCGCTCCTTCTTCTTTGAAAGTTGAAGAACTTCCAATCTTTCGTTTTTCACGAGACGCTTTGAGTTCGTCACTGAGCCTAGCGTTCTCGGCTAATAACTGTTTTAGTTCATCCTCGGCCAGGCGGCCGCTTCATCGACTAGTTAAATCACTCTCCTTTGGTTCATGGAAAACTTCGAACCTCTGAAAGAATAACATAGACAATCTGAAAATTGCCTAATTTATGCTGTTAATATCTACCTGGGTCTTATACAGTTCATAAATGCTTCAACATCAACGAAGACGTATTTGTCATCCCCATTGGCATTATTTTTACCGTCCACCAGAGGAAGACAATGGTCTTAGGTTAGCGTACAAAAAAAGCCAAAAACAACAATTGGTTCGTTTTGCCTCTTAATCATACGAACCATTGTATGTCATCACCCGAGGCTCTTCAGTGTTTAGCTCTTAAAAAGGTGTTGATACAGATGTCATCGTATAACAAAGGAGAGATGGTAGTAAATAACTAATACGTAAATTTTATAAGATTTCAATAAAACTTGTAGCCAAGATGGTAAATAAATTCTTATCAACTTACGTTTCGGCGTTATCGCCCCCTTCAGAGTTGGAAAACTTCAAATACCGGTTTCCTAGACCTAATGTTTCCAAATGGGCATGATAATCCTTAAAACATTTAGCCCACCTCCAACAACAACAGGTCGTTTAGACGACCGCCGCTAAACTGACCCATAGGGACTCGGGGTAGCTTTAGATGATATGCCCTATCTCTCCCGCCGTGATACCGGAGCCATATAAAACCCACAGAGGTCAGAGAAAGGTGCGAGTTCACTAGCTACGGCTAAGCACTCGTCCTTCCTATTCATTTTTGGAGACCTGGCGTTGATGAAAAACGCTTCAAGTGATTTCCGCGTCGAAATGAGGGGTTCTAGTAAAATAATCCTAATTGTAATTCCGAATACAGCACCTTTATGGGAATCGGTGAGCGCCCAAAGGGGTCTCCACCCCTGCTCGATTCAAACCGTCCAGATGTTCCTTGACTCTAACGCAGAGAGGTCGCCCACTCTCCCCTATATATTCTTCTCGCATAGATTGCATGTGATCAGGGGGTTGTGTTCTATTGAAAAAGCAATAACTGCTGTTCAATAAATATTCCATTAAGTATATTGAATCCTGTTTTTTAAACATTCTCTAATTATTTTTGACTTTTTTATCGTTTGAGTAGAAAACTTTGAAACCATTGGTGACCTTATTTCCCTACTCTCTACAAGCGTTACGGAAACATATTTGAATTAGATTTTGAACGATCTTTATGATGAGGTCATGTTCTAGGTTAGTGAACAAATGTGTGAAGTCTGCTGTATAAATCTTTAAACCACGATAGCGTATATTTCTTAATTCTTCACTAATGTTAATATTACTAATTGACCAGTAATTCTTTATAGGTTTTTTTCTAATTCTTGTTACATTTGTATATTTTATAAAACGAAATTTGATAAAAGTAAATATATCGTGCATCTTCTTGACTAATGTTTTCGTACTACTTTCTCTAGCGCCAGTGATATATCTGAACTTTGTAGGATTCCTATGTAATCTTGGTAATGATCGCTCTAATTGAGACTCGCTCTACTTGATAGCTTTATCTGATATATTGAGTTTGTTGCGTAGATATCTTAGGTTTGGATACATATTAGATTGTATTAATTATTACATTCTATTTTTTATAGTGTTATTAGTGACGCTGTACAAAAATTGCCTTCATCTCTATCGTATTTCATGCCCATTTCTTGAATAATAATCATTGAATAATGTTTCATGAAAATTGTCCCATATTTATTACTAGCTTTATCAAGTGTTTAGAAAGCAAAGTCTTCTTGAATTTTTTTTTAGTTCATAGGGGATTGTTTCCTTATACCTATTATAAGTTCCAACCTATCATAAGTTAGTAGTGGCTTAACAGTAGCATACCTGAATTGATAGCGCTGAAAAGATGAAATCAACAAATTTTGCCATTTGCAAAACCTGAAACTGACCTGAAAATGATGCATTCTCTACACACTAAATGCACCACTGGCAACTATACGTTGACATTGACTACTGACCAAAATTCAGTTTAGCTATGAACGTTGACAGACCCATGATGTCTCTACTCGCACAATCGGAACTACTCAAAGTATTGGTACTTTACCCACAGATGGCTTGTTCGTCAGTGGGGATCTATATACTGTAAATGCAGCTTTACATGGTGACACAAGGATGTCAACTGCATTGCAGAAATAATATTACTCGGTAACACAAGAACGGAAGGAACGACAGTGTTCTAACACTTGTTGCAGGTGAAAACCTGAAATATAGGGGATAGTTCAATAAGTCAATTTATTGTAATTAAATTATCGAGTAGGGAAAAAAGAACTAAACGCCTCTGAAGAGGGCCAATGATTGCCTCAAAGCCCTCTGTGGAACAACCGGATATTGATCCGATGCGTCTCATCTTATTGAAAGTTAACGTACAGTAAGTGAAGGAAAACTCATTGGCAATTCCCGAAAGATGGGTTGAAGTACAGAAGCAGCGTAACTCTAACTTCTAGAGGGATCATTTGTGATCTCTGGGTGGAATGGGTGCCTTGAATATGATCTATTCTAGTAAACTGTGGTGTATTCATTCTCCGAGATGAACGGATGGTCGGAAAGGTTATTTCTTAGTACTCACATTAACCTTTTACCCTTGGAGAACCGAGCACGGCCATACTAGAAGCAGAACTGACACTTGATGATACAACATGAGAATGCAGAGTATCCGTTCCCCAGGATTGCGAATCAGTACTACAGGATCGGATCTCTGCCGTCCAGAGCAGCAAAGAGAAATCGTACCATACCATCGCCGATGCTGCTCACTCATCTTCAGCTGTACATGGACTGTCTGCATGACACTCTGACGTCATCGTTTCTAAAATGATCCAACTGTGTCCAATCGCACGCTCTTCCCATCTTCCTCAACTCTGCTAAATGGAGTTGCCTTTCCCAATTTCGTCCTGAAAGTGGGTCGCACCACTACTTTGAGAAGATTCATTTGAACTTCTCGTATCACCATCGGTCACAGACGAGCCACAATCGAAGGACTTAATACCGTTCGTACATGCTGCCCCGTAGCACTTCCAAATTTTGCTGCTTACTATTGCACCAATCAATCATATGTTAAAACACACTACTTTTCAACACGTTACCCCTACCTGTTTGCAATCTTACCGGAAATATTCAAAGTATTGGAACTTCATCCACAACAAAGAATTAATAGGAACGCAACCATTATATTTCTGAACTCTTTGGGACATCATGGATATTTTGAAACAACTATATCCTTCCAGTGCTGAGTTCAGTCTCAACATGTTAATGGTTGCTATTACTGCCGTGCCCTGAAGATCCGAATGCCACAACTATTTGCAACGCAAAAACCATGGAAACAACATACGGGTTGTAAGCAAATCACAGTGGTCCCATTAGTTTTGTGTAAGGATGGGATTCCCGAACTTCTCAAAATTACTGTTACACCTATTGCTCTGTTCGAATGAAAAGAAACGGTCAAAAATGCCAGTGGCATGAAACCGATTTAGATTCAGTTCCACATATGGGACAGCAAAGCAACTGCACGCCATTCAGGCTAGGCCATCGAACTCGATATACTGAACTTCTCTCATTCTTTTTATACACGCTCTACTCTTCCAATCTTTATCAGTGTCTTTATGTTCAAATGTATGTTATTACCTCCATAACGTGACAGAAACACGGAGATGAAACCTCTCATACCCTCGCTTGCAAGGCCTTCTGTGTTCACTACGAGCTCAACACTTACTGGAAAGGCTTAAGGCTTCAGAGTCCTTCAACGTCTGAAAACGAATAACGTCTGAAAAGGAGTATTCCGAACAAATAGCTACCTCTTCAGGTAGAGAGATTGGACTGATAATATTCGCTTTGCTTGATTTTCAGGCCCTCAATAAGCGACATATTTTTGACATATGGGCGTATCGATGAAAAACGTAAATGAAAGTTTGCGAAGAACTAGGCATATTTTCTTGACATAGAGGCATTT